TATTTATTTGTTCAAATGTATCTTCTTTTTAAAAGCACATTCCCAAAGTATTTAAAGAAATATATTTGGATAGCATGTTCAATTCAGCAGTAACCCATATATCACTAAAGCATTATTGACTGAATCTGTTTTATGTCTGCACTTGGAAAGGAAAAGACAGAAGGTGAGTAGACACTCCCTGCCCTCAAAAGAAAGGACAAGCCATTAGCAGGAAGCACATCTAAATCACTTTACTTAATGAGAGTGGCCTAGCATTTAGTAAAAAGAAATTGAAACTGAACCTGTCTTTGACTATACATGCAGAAATGCTTTCAATAAGCACAGCAGACTCACACACAGATTTTGCTGTAATATTGTCTATAACAACAAAAATGCCTGACACAATATAAGTGACTTCAATTAAGAACAGACAGCAGGAGAATATAACAGATAAGTAACAGTTAAAGAAATGAATTACATAGCCTCTGTGGCTAGACCTCAACAATTAAATTAAATACCAAGAAAAGGCTGACCATATATTATGAGATCAAATACTTAACCACATTTCAAGAGATATAAATTACATGTGAAGACAATTAAACACCATGTTATCCACGTGGGCGTTAAAATACTTTTTAAAGGTCACTATTATAGCTCCCTTTAGAAAAAGAAAATGGGAAACAACAATGCAAGATGGCAGACATTTAAGCTGCCTTGCTTTATTTCTTCAAAAGCAGCAGAAACTTTAATATAGACAATTTCTGCGTGATGGGCAGATTTCCTAATCTTGTGTTTTGCATCCTCTCGTCTCCTTCTCAGATATAAGAACATTCACATCTCCTTTTGCTTCACATGCAAAGACACTTTCCACCTGTAGCATTCTTCACGCAGTTCGTTTCACATGACACAAAGAGAACTGTCCCCACTAATACCAACCGAAAGACAAAAACTGTAAACGAAGCCTCACAGCAGCATCTTCGTAGTTGCATCAAGGATGAAGAAGCTGAGGTGAAACAGATACCGAGACAATGCTGCCATCTAAAGGCCAAAGCTTAAAATGAAAGATGTGTACAGTCCACTGCACAGGAGCTCCAATAGTCTTGGAGAAGATTCACCTTATCAAGAGAGCAGAGTAAGAGTTCATTCGAAGGCTGATCAAAGCACCAGTCAAACTCTATACATCCTGTCTGGCACAGTGTTCCTTCTTAAGTACATCTATTAGTAGTTAATGTAATTGGCAAATGAGCAGTAGTACTTGTCAAAACAAAAACAGTTGACTACGTACACATTTCAGTTTATTACAAAAATATGATGGTGCTATGGGAAGTTAGTTGTCTGTGATTCAATCATCCATCCAGCAGCACTCAATGAGTTCTGAACTTCCTTCTAAGAACCTTAGTGAGAATTATGTTGGCTTCTCTTTAAGGTTTATCACAGAACTTTAAATCCCCCATGAAAACCAAATCCAGATCTTACATTCTTCGGATTTAGGTATATGGCACGTTATCAATGCAAAACAACATGGACACAAAAGTAAGAAAATAAGGCATAACCTCCCAGCATGAACAGCGCCCCCTGTGGAAGGCCATCAGCTAAATCCTGAGGTGACAACAGAAGTACTCCTCTGTGCTTTCCTAACAGGAAAACAAGTGTCAGTCAAGGCAACAAATATTCCTACTAAAGACTAGAAAATGTTTAACATAGGATTAGTAACCTTTAATTTATGTTGTGTACCATGAAAATGAATGCTTAGTAAATTCGGCTATTACGCTCCTAGTATATCTTATGGGTCAGAATTTGTACTAAGCAATTTGTGAGTATTTGTTATGACATTTAATCTTCAACTATAACCTGAAAGACAAATATTAATATAACATCATTAGCAAATGAGGTTTAAATGATCGTCAATAATTTTTACTGGGTCACAACACAACTGAGAAACAAAATGTCAGTCTATCTAACCCAGAAAACTTAACTCTCTATAAGTTCATACACTCTCAAGTGATTACTTTCATATCAACTTTAAAAGGAAATGTGAGGTGTTTTTTATTGTGTATTTTCAATGTAAAACCATATTTTGAGGTAATAAAAGCATTTAATTTAAGCCATAGTGCTTCAATTTTTTTATGTAGTTTTTAAATAGTGTCATCTCAACAGACAGGTGATGCCTGAAAACTCCTTCCACAACTCAAGTTCGTACATGGAAAGCATTTTATTACATTCACAAAGAATGGGTCACTGTTGGGACCAACTGGAGTCCCGGCCTTCAGCTGCTCTTCCCTGCTAGAGCCTTCTGATTGGAGTTACTAAAAGCTGTGCCTTAAGGATCAGAGGATGGGCTTTTCACCTGTTGGCCCACTTGACTGCTGGGTATTTTAGCCTCCATGGTGTTATGAAAAAAAAGGCCTTTGTACCAGTGATTAGACGTTCGTGTATCTGTCTGTCTCTGTGTGTGTTTGTGTATTTCAACCTCCAGCCCCTTGCCCGAAGCTCGCAAACTGTATTGTGGCGCATAGAGCGCAAACGGAGACGGGGGCGCAGTGTGCAGCAGGTCACCTTTCAGCACAAGCATTCATAGTGCCAGAAAGCACCAAGAAAGCTTCCAAAGGAAGGAGACAACCAACAGTCCTACCCAATTAAGACACCTATGAACCACATCAATGCCTAGCATGGCATGATAACCCTAAGGGTGCAGTAGTGGCAAGCATACCTTGATGGTAACCACCAGATCTCATATTGGATTTAAAACCTGGTCAGTAAAAGGAAGACCAATCCTGTCTGGTACCTAATTATTCAGTACAAGTGAAATCATGGTTACTAGAGGAGAATCTGCAACCATTAATTTACTAAGCTAGCAAAATCCCTAACAACAATCCATAAACATTTGTCTTTATACCCACAGATAAGTGGTCTTCACCACAAGGAAACTTCTCTTTGCAAGAGAGACCACTACAGAAAACCAGAATGAATCAAAAGGCTATTGTGAACCCCAGTCCCAACAGATAGATCTACAAAGCATTCCCTCACCTAATGCTCAGGGAACACTGCAAAATAGGAGGCAGGAAGACTATAAGAGCCAGAGGAACAGGGAGTTTGCTGAGCAACGGTGTCTCCTAGTAACTTCAGAAGCTACACACATAAAGTCTCACCAAAGTGACCACCCCAGCATGCACTGAACAATGATGACACCAAAAGACTTGCCAAACTGGATGGGGAAAAACCGTGAGGCCTCAACCATACAAAAAGAGCCTCAAACAACTAAGGAGAGCTGGAGTGAGGGAGGGGTCTTCCCCAGGGAAGAGCACACTGACTGGTATTCAACACCAAGAGGTCAGCTCTGAAAACACAAACACAAATGACTACACACACTAAACAAGTCATTTGCAGGAATACGTATGTATGCAATAACAATTAGAGAAAGAGACCATGAATTTGAAGGAGAGTAGGGAGGGGTACCTAGGAGGGTTTGAATGGAGAAGAAAGGCAAGAGGAAAATGTTACAATTATATTATAATCTCAAAGTTTTTTTAAATTTTAAAATTTTAAAAACCAAAAAGGACAACAAAAATGTCTACATTTTAAGACGTAAGTTAAAAGCAAGTCTTTTTTATAAATACATTATTTTCAACACTGGAAACTGCCACTAGCTCCTCCCAAGTGATAATAGTAATTTCTGGTAATTGATATGATGTCCCTATCAGTTAAAAATAAATGGCTTTGCATTTCATTCAGCCATAATTAGGACTGAAATTCGAATACAAGGTACATCATGGATGAACCTAGAAAAAGACATAAAAGATCACATCTATGTAATTCCACTTGTATAAATCATATAAAATAGGCTAATTCATAAAAACAGAAAATAAATTCGCAGTTACCAGGTGCTAGGGAAAGGGAAAATGGGGAGTGATGGATGGCTAAAGATCAGAGTTTGATCTAATAAAGAAATGATATATAATTAGATATCTAATTAGATTGCATAGCTTTATGTATAGTGGTATATTATTGGTGTCTTAATAAATAAAGCTTGCCATAATACTCAGCCACACAGGCCAGAGAGTGATGGCACACACATTTAATCCCAGGACTCAGGAGATAAAGACAGACGGATCTCTTGTGAGTTTAAGGCCACCCTGGGCCATACAAAATTGCATCTGTCTAAAAGAGAAACAACGCTCACATAAAAGTGATCCCAGCAGTTAGAATAACTCGCCTTTAATCCCAGCACTAGGGAGGTGGAGACAGGAACAATATGACTGGGCAGAGAAAGAGATATAAACGGGAAGAGACAGGAGCTCAGAGCAAAGTGGAGTTTGAGGATTCATGGAGACTGGATCTTGCCCATTCTGTCTGAAGACTTGGTAGAGGTAAAAGGTCTCTAGTGGATAGCTGCTTTGTTTTTCTGATCTTCAGGTTGAACCCCAATATCTGTCTCTGGGTTTTTATTGTTCGTGCAACATTATGGATATAATAAAAACAAAGAATCTTATGTGATTACATGTCAATAAAAGAAAATTGAGTAGAGCATTAATACATGTGAAATACATATGTATGTGCTAAAATATAACACTTATGGAATTATCAAGATTATCTACCCAAATTTACTAGATACTATCTTTTCACTATTCTAAGTAAAAAGTTTTATTTATAAATGTATGCATTCCTGAGCATTAAAATATCCTTAATCTACTATTGTTATAATTCCTAGAGGGACCACAGAAACTCCAATAATGGACAGGTTTTGCTACCAAGTTTTATCTATTCCAGCTGACCTGAGTTAATTCACTGCTGGAATTCTTTAAAGAAACAATAAGCACGTTAGTGAATGATACTTAAAAACCCAGCACCACACACAAGCACCTATCCGCTTAGACGAGCGCACGGTAAAAAGGTCTGGAAGAGATTTCTGCTTTTCAATAAGTAGGATTTGCCACTGGAGAACCAGAAGACAATTTGTAAACAAAATCCAAGGAATTCAAAGGGCAACAAACGGAACAGTGTGAGTGAAACCAAGTACTTACCAATTTGTTTTCCTGCATGTATATTCTTTGTAACTTCAGGCAGCCCTTAGCTATGACAATCATGCCTTCATCTGAGATCTTGTAACACTGGCCAAAGTGAATGTCTTTGAGTTCTCTGCATTTTGAGCCCAGCTGTAAACAAAGACATTTGACTCAATGCTTAGAAAATGACAAAGGCAGTGTATTTCTAGTGCACAGCATTCTAAAGTAGATATCCCAAAGTTAAAGAATGATTTATAAGTCACTTTTAAAATAACATAAACTTAAAGCAGTATTTTATAAAAGCATCTACCTTCTAACAGTCCTATTTCATCTACCTCATAGTACACCAAAGTACACAGACTCCTTAACATTTTAAGCTTACACTTTTACTTCTATAAGCCTTAATAGAGTATGTAGATGGGGGAAAACCTAAATAAACAAGTTACAGTATAATCATAAAAATCAGTATTATATGCCCATTAAAATCTCAGGAGGCAGGGGCAAGCTGATCTCTGTGAGCTCAAGGCCAGCCTGGTCTCCAGAGCTAGTTCCAGGACAGCCAGGGCTGTTACACAGAGAAACCCTGTCTCTAAAAATATGAAAGTGTATACACCTTTTATATTATAATATGCATGTGTTTAAATGAACATGCACATATACAAAGAGACTGAAATACATACCAACATGCATACAATTAGCTTTGATTAATAACAGCATAGAGGCTTATCCCTCTGACTTTTTATTACTTGCTCTTTAAATTATCATATCGAGTACTGCTTCATTATGGTATTTTCAAGCAAAATTTGTTATGGCTTATGGCTTATTCTCCTGCCCCATCACCTCCCTTTCCTTCATCCCCTCCCCCTACACCCTACCCCTCCATCTTCTCACTCTCCTTTCTGTTTTCATGTCACATGGATACCCTTGTCTGCTCCTTCCTCAGAAAAATTGCTCTCTTGATCTCCTCATTTCTCAAGTTTTGCCCATGTTCCTCTCCCAAGTCTGTCTGTCTCTCTGTCTGTGTGTGTGTGTTAAAAACTGAAATTCCTATATAAAACAGAACATGCAGTCTCTGGGTCATTCTGCTTTAAAAAAAAAATCTACAGATCCATGTATTATTCCTGCAAATTTAACAGTTTCACTTATCTTTACAGCTATGCAAATTTCCACTGTGTGTCGGGATTTTATTATCCAGTCATCTACTATTGGGCAACCAAGCTGGCTTCCCGTCCTGCCATACTGAATAAAGCAGCAGGAACCAGGATGCACAAGTACCTCTGTGCTAGGATGCAGTCCTGTGAACACATATGCTCACAAGTGGTGTGGCCAGGTCGTAGGGTAGACTGGTCCGTATTCTCTCAAGACCCTCCGCACTGGCATCCATAAAGGCTACACTAGCTTACACGCCCATCAGCTGTGAGCAAGGTGCTCTCTTCCCACACCCTCACCATGATTTCCTGCCAATGCTTCTGACTGGGATGAGATGGAATCTCAAAGTTATTTGAATTTGTATTTCCCTGATGGCTAAAGACACTGAACAGTTCTGTAAATATTCTTTTTTTTAACAGAAGTAAGCTTTTATTTCCATGTTTCTTGGTTTAAGTTGTCTGAATTGGTTGCTTTGAGAGGATTAGTCAAAGAGACCAAATCCCGTATCTTCATCTGATTCCTCCTACTCTTCCTTGGCTTCAGGCTTCGCTGGGGCTGCAGCAGCAGCAGCAGGAGCAGCAGTGGTGGCAGCAGCCACAGGGGCAGCAGCCACAAATGCAGATGGATCAGCCAAGAAGGCCTTGACCTTTTCAGCAACTGTGAAGGTGTACTCAGTCTCCACAGACAGAGCCAGAACCCGCTTGTACCCACTGATGATCGAGTGTGGCACTGAGGCAACAGTCGGGTAGCCGATCTGCAGACAAACACTGGCAACATTCCGGACACCCTCTAGGAAGCGAGAGTGCAGAGCCTGCTCTGTGATGTCAAGCACTTCTGGGTTGTAAATGCTGCCATTGTCAAACACCTGCTGGATGGTCAGCCCAAAGGAGAAGGGGGAGATGTTCAGCATGTTCAGCACTGTGGCTTCACTAGCTCCTATTTGTCTCCAGTTTTTATCAGCTGCACATTACTCAGAATTTCAATGGTGCCCCTGGAGATTTTAGTGGTGATGCCTAAAACCTGGGGGGAAAAAAGGTCTTCTCGTTTTCTGGGCTGGCACCAGCACGGGCAGCAGCTGGCACCTTATTGGCCAGCAACATGTCCCTAATCTCAGTGAGGTCCTCCTTGGTGAATACAAAGCCCACGTTCCCTCGGATATGAGGCAGCAGTTTCTCCAGAGCTGAGTTGTTCTCCAGGTGCCCCCGATGGCCTTCCGCATCAGGGTGTTCTTGCCCATCAGCACCACAGCCTTCCCTCACAGGGACATGCGGATCTGCTGCATCTGCTTGGAGTCCACATTGTCTGCTCCCACAATGAAGCATTTTGGATTATCATCCAAAAGTTGGATGATCTTAAGGAAGTAGTTGGACTTCCAGGTCACCCTGTCTTCCCTGGGCATCACGGCGGTGCGTCAGGACTTGCCACGCAGGGTTTAAAGACGATGTCACTCCAACAAGGACGCCTGGCGAGAGCCAGTTCTGTAAATATTTATTGACTATTTTTGTTTCTTCTGAGAATTGTCTGTTTCATTAGTTCATTTCCTTTCATTTTAGAGAAACTATTTAATTTTTGCACTTTTTCATAAATTCTAGATATTGGTTCTTGTCTGAAGTACAGCTGGCAAGGATATTATCCTCTTTTGCAAGATGGCTATACGTTTTGCTGATGCTTTTAATTTTGCAAAGTTTCATTTGATAATTTTGGGGGTTATTTCCTATTCAGAAGGTTCTTGTCTACGTATTTCTGTTTTGTTTTTTTGTTTTTGTTTTCAGGCTTTACCATTAAGGTCTTTGATCCACTTGGAATTGTTTTGTTTTGTTTTTTTACAGTGTGAAAGACGTCTGTTGAAGGTTTTTTTTAATATTTATTTATTTATTTATTATGTATACAATATTCTGTCTGCATGTACACCTGCAGGCCATAAGACAGCACCAGATCTCATTACAGATGGCTGTGAGCCACCACGTGGTTGCCGGGAATTGAACTCAGGACCTTTGGAAGAGCAGACAATGCTCTTAACCGCTGAGCCATCTCTCCAGCCCAATATTTTGTTTTTTTTACCTGCAGCATGTGTTGGCACTTTGGTCAAGCATTACATGGTCAGAGACGTATGGGTTTATCTCAGGGTCCTCTCCTCTGTCTCACTGGTTTACATACCTGATTTTTCTGAAAGTATGTTCTGGTCTTGACACTACAGGTGGGTGGTAGGCTTCCGAGTCAGGTATTAGAATACCTTCAGCTGTGTTCTATCTCCTTAGGAATTCTTCATGGTTTTCTACGTTTGATATAAACTTCTGGGCTGTTTTCTAGTTCAGTAAAGAATGTCATTGGAATTTTGATGGTGATTGTATTAAATTTGTATATTAATTTTGATAATATAACCATTCATAACTTTAATATTGCTAATCTAGAAGCATGGATGATCTTGCCATTTTCTGGTATCTTCTTTGGATTCTTTTTTCAGTGTCTTCAAGTTTTCAATGTAGAAATCTTTCACTCCTTTGGTTAGGTTTATTCCTGGATACTTTTAAAGAATATTTTCCCTGATTTCTTTCTGGAAGAGTTTGCTTTCAGTATATAAGAAAGTCACTAACTTTTGCATGTAGATTTTGTATCTTGCGACTTTGCTGAAAATGTTTACAAACACTCAGAAATACTTTCATTACCATTACTATTCATCATGCTCATTAATATCAACTGCCAAATCCCACTGAATTCATCAAAAGAGGCAGGTACATTTCTAGAACTTACACTAAGAAAGCTGAACCCAAACCAGTATTACAAGTCTGAACTGGTTCCCATGTGTCTGACAGAGATAAAAACAGGACTATTCAAAGTCTGCTAAGCACCACTTAACCCTCAGACATCTCCATTACTTGCGACATGGCCCTTGGTCCTGGTCCACAATGGCAGGAGACTGCTTTCCTGGGCAAGAGAAAATACCGGGGCTCTCAGTATTTGGGAGCAGAGCACAGAGTTTGACTTCTGGCACTAAGAGCAGAGGAACATTGCTGATAAATCTGAGATTACATGGAAGTTCATACTTGTAGAACTGGAGGAACTTTTAAAAATCTATTAAATGTTCCAAACTGAAAAGGTTCATCCACATTCTAGCACAGATGAGCAAAAGAGAGATCACACAAATCATCATGCAATTTCACAATTCTAGCTATGAAGAAGATTCTCTAGGCTTCAAACAAAATTTAGATTCACACAAAGGAATGAATTAAGAATGCCTCAAACTTAATGTTAAAATAAAGCCACAGAGCAGTATCATCAAATCTTGAATGACTGAATTTCTAGAGCAGAAATCTGCACCCAAAACTTGAATAAAGCCTGAAAGTAGAACTAGAGGTTTAATGGGGGAGGGGGGGCTGTTTTGTTTGTTTTCAGACACGTAAGTTCTCAAAAAATTATCTCCCATGTATTTTTAATAAGGATGGTATTTTAAATATTTATTTTATTTATATACAATATTCTGTCTGTATTTATGTCCGCAGGCCAGAAGAGGGCACCAGACCTCTTTACAGATGGTTGTAAGCCACCATGTGGTTGCAGGGAATTGAACTCAGGACCTTTGGAAGAGCAGACAATGCTCTTAACCACTGAGCCATCTCTCCAGCCCCCAAGGATGGTATTTTAAAAGGTACCCTGAACCTGATAGTGATGGCACACACCTTTAATCCCAGCACTCAGGAGGAAGAGGCAAGTGGATCTTTGTGAGTTCAAGACCAGCCTGGTTGACAGAGCTCATTCTAGAACAGCCAGGGCTATACATAAAAACCTTGTCTCAAAAATTAAATAAATATATATAAATAAAATAAAGGTGCTCTACAAAACATAACACTGTATCAAAAAAAGAAGACATAAGAACTAGGTAATAGGAAATCAAACCCAATGTCAAGATGAAAAGAACTAATGGATTACGCTGAAGACATATTAAGATAGCATTGCTGCAACAGTATACAAGAACCCCAGGCTACAGTCTTCAGGGTGCCCTA